TCACTATGCGGATTGTTATCCTATTGTACAGACATACAATTGAAGTTAACTAACTTTTCGAAAGTCAGAGTTCCATGCCTACTTCATTGGTACCTAACTCAAGGAGTTGTTGGTTTCACATTTTCCTGGGGAAAGCACTGCATTTCATTCAGAGCTCTGTGTTAGTATATACAGCCTTCTTTTTTTCTCTTCTCTCTTCTCTTTTCTTTCTTTCTCTTTCTCTCTCTCTTTCTTTCTTTCTTTTTCTTGCAAGGTCTCACTTTGTCACCTAGGCTAGAGTGCAGTGGTGCAATCACAGCTCACTGCAGCCTCGACCACCCAGGCTCAAGTGATCCTCTCACCTCAGCCACTGGAGTAGCTGGGACTACAGGCATGCACTACCATACCCAGCTAATTTTTTAACTTTTTTGTTGAGACGAGGTCTCACTATTTTACCTCAACTGGTCTCGAACTCCTACGCTCAAGCCATCCTCCCGCCTCGGCCTCCCAGAGTGCTGGGATTACAGGCGTGAGCCACTGTGCCCGGCCTAAGATGCGCATCCTTCTTAACTTGATATTTTAAAAAAGCTTTCTTAGTTTTATATAATCATTTCTTTGAAAATAACACATTGCCTCCTACCCAACACAAGGAATGTATTATAAGCCTCCTTCCCTTTGGACTCTGAGTGTAGCCTACTCTCATTTTCCAGGGCCATTTCTCTCCCCACTGAGACGCTTTCACTATCAACTCTCTTTTACAAATTCTGGGGCACTTAAACCTCTGTTTCCACCAGGAGACTGAGTATACTGGTTATCTGCTCCTGCAGGGCACATTTTGTCTTCTCTTTTTCTCAGCCTCTCTATTGCATTAGTCCTGAAGCCTGGTTTTGCATAATCACAAATTTCATTTATGCCTTTCCCCAAGCAAAGGTACGGTCCTCTTGAAAGGAGGAACTGCTATCCGTTTAGAGTAATTAGCTTCCTTTGCAGCCAGCTTTGACAATATCATTTATTTTGCCTCAATCACCTTACTTATGACTCTAATTTGCACAAAAGCATTGACTGCACCTTTTCAAAGGAACCAAGGGGGTTGCTTTAATGCCCATCCTTGGTGACTGAGTCTTTGCTTGGTTGAAGTTCTAAATGCAAAACCTTTATTTCCCTGTGTGTGATTCACTGTTAGAAAATAAATTTTCTAATTTCCAAGATTTTTTTTTTTTTTTTTTTTGGTCAAAAAGGCAGAAACCATGGCAGAGACCAAATGAGGGCCATTTGAAATGGTTTTCTCTAAGTTCAAAGATTGATACCATAAGGACTTGCTTTCTTTAGATCTTGTTTTAGCTCCCTCTGAGGTAGCCAGTAGCATGCAGAATATGTATCTCTGTCCAATTTCAACTGGACAATTGTTGGAGCTCTGTAAGTTCTTTGTATCTGGCAGTTGGCATAGCTACTTGTGGAGACCTAAGTGTCAGCATTAGCAATGGCCTTGCCAAACCGCACCTTGGTAGCCCTGGGCTGGGAGGCTTATTTCTCTTTGGGTCACTCCTCAAGTTATAATGAGGTATGGGATTCAGAGAGCTGAATGTTGCCTTTACTGTTCTAGACAACCCCTTCCAAGAAGAAGACGCATTTTCTGAGTAGAGTGGGAGAGATACATCTTTTCTTAAATAGAGGCCTAGAGTAGTACCTGGTACACTGCTGATTCATGTATGGAGCCACATCATTAAGCTCACAGACACTGTGCAGGGAAACATAACATCTCACACTGGCAGGCTTATCTTGGGAGAAAGGCCAAAGGATCTTTCTCCATAACATCTATTATGGACTTTTAAAAACTTACTATGTTTTGGATTTAGCCAAACAAACTAATCCCATGCTGAGCCTGAAAGGTCACACCGCTGGTTCAGGAAAAATGTCCAATTTCAAAGCGAAGCTTTTCTGTTTAGCTGCAAGGACGGGAAAAAGGGATTTGAAAAGGCAAGCAGTGTGTGTGGCGGCTCAAAGCTTTTAATGAAGAAGAGCAATGGAGTGAACCAAGAAAAGTGGTGTGGCAGAGTAGCAGGTTTGAATTGGATAATATTAGGGGAGTATGCTGGCAGGGCTTGAGTGGGACTGAACGCTGGAAAATGGTATATTTCTGTGTGTGTTAGGAGGAAGCAAGTGGGCAATGTAAAAAAAGTTGAGTTTTGAGAGGTCAGGATGTGTAGAATAAAGGAATGAAAATCTGTAGACACTTTGACCCACAAGGAAGCAATTATAGTAATTCAAACACAACCCCAAATTATCATTAAATCCATGCAGTATACACTCCTGGCCTCATGATTAATGCTAAAATTAAAGATGATCTTTTCGTAGGCAAGTGTTCATTAAGAGACTTTTCTGTTTATTTATTAGCTCAATATTTTTTAATTGCAAAAATTAAGTAAAAAAAAATCATTACTGTCATTGTTCAGGAATATTGGGCTATATAGAACTGTTAATTGAGGATCCAGAGAGAAATCACATGTACCTGATTAGGAAAACTATGATTAGGATTTATAAAGAATGCACACATGTTCGAGGACTATACTGTGTAATATTTTAAGTGTCTGGTTTATGAAATTTATTTGGAATATAGGACTGAGGTAATGAAGTATACTTTTATGAACTATCTAGATAAAGTAAGATAAGGAAATGGTCAGGGGCTGTTATTTTCCTAATTAGGTATTCTAATAACCAAATATGCCTTTGAGCTTAATGACTGTCGAGGTGCTTTGCAACAGGATGCTTTGGAACCCTCCACTTAGGATGGGTTGTGAGGTCAATGTGGCTTTGCAGAATGAACCTTGAGGAAGATTGACCATTCAAAAAAATGCAATTGGTGAAAATAGTGTTTTATATGGTTAGAGTGTTTTACTGTTAGTTTTTGATGTTACATTCTAGCTTTATAAAATAATATTATTTCATTCGGCATTTAGTTTGATTTGACTTAGTAACAAAGAGAAAAGGGCATGTATACTTGTCTCAGTCCATTTCAGCTGTTATAACAAATTACCTTACCTTGTAAACAATAGAAATGTGTTGCTTACAGTTCTGAAGACTGGGAAATCCAAGATTAAAGTGCCAACAGACTGGGTGTCTGGTGAGGGATCGCTCTGCTTCAAACATAGTGCCTTCTTGTTGCACCCTCGCATGGTGGAAAGCGGGGAGCACTGTGTCTTCACATGGTGGAGTGTGAAGGGGAGCTTCCTTCAACCTCTTTTATTAGGGTGCTCATCCCATTTATGAGGGTGGACCCTCATGACTTAATCACTTTCCAAAGGCCCCACATCTTAATATCACCAAAGGGGATTAGGTTTCAGAAGGAGTTTTGGAGGGACATACTCAGGCCATAGCAGTGCCCATGTGCAGAAGTGTGCCTAGTTGTAGATCTGTGTCCTAGACAGTATATAGTCCTGTGGAAAAACCAGATGAAAAGCAGCTTGAAAGGAGACTTATAACATCATCTGCTTTTCCCCCCTATGATTTATAAACTGGAAATAATCATTCAACCATCCATTATTCATTCAGTAAACACTGATGGAGCAGCCATTGTAGACATTGATTGAGCACCTATGTGCCAGTCGGTGTGTTTGGTGTAATGTAAATACAAATATGGGTGAAAGAGTCTCTTGTCTGAAAGAATTTACACACTATTTGGGGATACAGACATGATTTTAAAAGTACAAATTGATAGATGCTTAAGTGGATATAAAATATTTTAGAAATTTAGGGATGGTTGCCTAATGTTGCTCAAATTAAGCCATTAGAAGGAAAGACACAGCTGTGGAATATGTACTACCTGGAGGAGCTTTGGCCAAAGAGTTGGTGCAGTATATAAGTTTTACAACAACCATCAAGTCGCATCATTATTGCCTTTTTATAAATAAGGAAACAGAGGTTTCCAGAGGTAAAGCAACTTGCACCAGGGCAAATGTCTACATGGGTAGAGCCAGGATTTCTATCTCAGTCCACTTCACTCCAGGGCCCACCTTGCCTGTGTTCCATGTTGATCTTAAAGGGTAAGTGGGAATTCACAAGTTAGTGCATAGAGGATAGGAAATTTTGGCTGAGAACAGAGCATGTAGAAAGGTCCTTAAATGTCCAAAAGTTTTTGAGTTTGGGTTAAAGCATTTTAAGAGAAGGGGAGCAGGAGGGAAGGAGCTTGGGGGTGGGGAAATTGTCAGTAAACAATTAAGGGCTACAATCCAGACCGAACATCCATCTGGGAGCAGAGTATTTTAGTCTTATTTTAGAGAGGCTCACTTCTAAGGATTTTTAAAATTCAACATGGTTAAAATATAGACAAATTTAATGTATTGAACCCCAAATCATGTTTTTTGAATGTTCCAAGGCATTTTTCTCAGGACAGGATGCATATGATCATTTATAGATACCAGGCTTCTGTGTATGGACCATAGTTTGACTACATGAAATTTGTTTTTGTTTGTTTCTTTGTTCTTGCCTTTATGCCTTGATGTTTTACATCATTGTGTATTCTTTGCTTTTTACATCTTTAACCCCACTGATGACATTTTCATTAGTCCTGACTAATCTATGTCAAACCACTGACCATGTTCAGGTAGACAATTTGCAAGGTCATTAATTTCAGGCATATTTCATTCTTTCAACATTCCTGGGAAAGTATGAAGTAAGAGATCAGGCATAGCCTGACCAAATTCTTGCTTATATACCGCAGCATCATTGCAAAGTTTAATGATTTTTTTTTTTTTCTGAGATAGAATCTCCCTCTATTGGAGTGTAGTGGAGTGTAGTGGTGGCGCAATCTCGGCTCACTGCAACCTCTGCCTCCTGAATTCAAGATATTCTCCTGCCTCAGCTTCCCAAGTAGCTGGGACTACAGGCACGTGCCACCACCATGCCCGGCTAATTTTTACATTTTCAGTAGAGACAGGGTTTCACCATTATTGGCCAGGCTGGTCTCAAACTCCTGACCTCATGATCTGCCCAACTCGGCCTCCCGAAGTGCTGGGATTACAGGCGTGAGCCACCACGCCTGGCCAATGGTATTTCTTAATAAACAAACTTGGGTAGCAATCAAGCCACTCAATGGTAAATGGGATTTTCCCTCTACACATTCTAAAAGTTGATTCGAACCTCTCCTGAGAATTGTTCTTCTTGATAGACTGCAGTTTCACAGTACTTCTGTGCTATCTGCAACAGGCTTCCCATTACTGGCACTCAAGGACTGGGTTCTCAGATTGCCAAGTATTGCTTAGGCTCATTACAACCATGTTATACCAATACAGTGTTGATGGTATCATAAAAGTTAATAACCACTGCATAAATGTCAGTTTTTCCAGTGGAAGTGGATACAACATTTCAATACTCAGCATTTATCAAGCATGTTTAATCATTTGAATGCACATTTAGTTATGCGTAAAATGATCTATGGAGTATTGTCAAAGAATAAAGAAGACAAAAAGTGGCTTTATATGAGAGAAGAGAGAGAGAAAAACCAGCTTAGGAACAATGAATGTTGGTTCACATTTTGGGGAAAACTGGTTAGTTAGTTGGGAAAGAGGTCAAAGTAGGCAGTTTGTACTTTAGTAGGCCAACTAGGGTTATCAAAGAGAACCATCGCAGTTCTGAAGGATCTCTGAAAACCTTGAGATCTTAGTTGAGAAGTACATGTGACAAGTTGTCTCTGTGTGAGGTCAGCCACTGTCCCCTACCTTAGTAAGGCAAGGTCTGCACAATTTCTCTCCTCAGAATGCTCACATTTTAAAGTTAAAAAAAAAATTATTTTTATGTAGTCTGTGGACCTTCACTTTAGGTTATTTCATTTGTTAGGGTTTTGATTTTGACACCAACATTGATTTTCAATGGGCTCCAAACTTTCCTTACCTTTGTTAGTTGCTCCACGTTTTACAAATGTTCATCTATGTAACTAATGGTCTACCTAACTGATCTGTTTCAATGAGGTGACTTTTCGGTTCTTTGCCTCCCCTTGACTGCACTCAAGGTAAATGGCATCCCAGTCATGTCAATTGAACTATTCAGCACATTCTACTGACAGCATCCTGGAGTGAGGACTGGGAGTCTCTTTACTTGACTCACTCTTAATTTCAGGAAAATTACAAACTTCACTTTATTATAAACTTCAGGCCTCCAGTTCTCAGCTTAGTTTACTTTAGTGAGTTTTTGTTTTCTTTTTGTTTTCAAGTCAGTTTTAAAAATCTCTAAAATGACTGAGTTTGAGGCCATGATGTTTCAAGTTATTTTAGCCTTCAATTCTGGAGCTAGGACCATTATTCATAAAAACTTTTATCCCAAAGCATTCCCCTTTACCTTCAAGGCATGCGATAATACTTCAGAATAGTGTCATTTTAGGAAATGTATCGAAAAAATTTATCAGAAAGCAATGATGCATAGGAAGAAAGCTTAATGAAATATCGCCCTATCTTGAACCATTTGTTTATTTTCTTCATGGGTAAGTTACTGATTCTATTAGAACTCAAATTGTGATTGCTTTCTAATTCATGAGGACTTTTACATCTTGATTACTGACACTAAAGGAAAGATCAAATTTGTTTTCCCAAATTATTGTTATTGTTGCCATTGTTATTGTTATTAACATACACCATTTACTGAGTGTTTGTTATTTTTCAGGCACTCTGCTGTTTTATGAGACAGGCATTAGTGTCCCCACTTACAGTTAAGGAAACTGAGGCACAGAGCAGTTCAGTGGCATGAGGTCACACAGCTGGTAAGTGACAGATCCAAGATTTGAACTCTGACTCTAAACCTTGAGCTCTTAATATTCTATTACATTTGATTTTTGCTGGTTGACTATTGTTATGACTCTTCCACAAACTTCTATATTATTTTATGTCTCCCAACAAAGTGTATGAACAACGTGTGATTCAAGGAACTTTAAAAATTGTCCCTTTTCAGATATTTTAATGGCTCTTGAAATTAAAACTCCAAAACCTCAGGATCACCATAGTTAATCAGAACTAGAAGCTCATATAGAATTGCTTTCTGCTTAATTCTGTAGGGGAAAAAAGCTGAATGGAAAGAAAGTAATTTATTGAAAAATACTGATTTCAGCCTCTGAATTTTGGCAAATCTCCTATATCTTTTAGAATTGATATTCAATAGAAGAAATGAGATTTGTGAACCTCAGTCATACGTTTGCTATGCTCTAACTACTAAGGCAGATGGGTTGACTGATGTTTATTCATTCAACAAACATTTAGTTTTTTGGTGATTCTTCCTTGGAGCTAGCTACAATACAAGACACTGTAAAAGGAATAAAATAACGGTTGTCTCTAGGGTTCCATAATCTAAAGGAGGAAGGTGTATCTGAAAGCAAATAGGTATATTTCTATAAGCAATTGCTAGTGCTTTTTTGCTGCAATTTTATTTATTTATATTTTTTATGATACTTTATGTTCTAGGGTACATGTGCACAATGTGCAGGTTTGTCACATATGTATACATGTGCCATGTTGGTGTCGCTGGCCACCCGATAACTCATCTATTACATTAGGTAAGTATCCTAAATCATCCTCCATCCCCTCCCCACAACATAAAGACCTCGGTGTGTGCGATGTTCCCCTTCCTTGGTGTCGCCAACTGATCTCTTTTGTCTCAAATTCCCACCTATGAGCTGAAAACATGCAGTAATTTGTGGCTTTCTCTCTTCTACGCCGACGAAGTTTCTGAGAAGATGGATTTCCAGCTGCAC